ATGTTAAGGCAGATGCTATTCTGATTTCCTGTCATCTGTATATGATCTACATTTTTTTTCTTTTGCAAGATACACAGTTTTTTTATTTTCTAGTACTGTAAAGTTTTATAATTATATGCTATTGTGTATGTCTTTTATAGTGTGGAATTCAATTATGCTGAACATTTTCTGAGGTTGCAATGTGTGTGTGTGAGAGAGTGTGTATGTGAGAGAGGGAGAGAGAGGAAAAAATGTGTGTGTGTATGTTTGTGACAGAGTATGTATGTGAGTGTGTGTTTCATGTTTATTTCTGCTGCCCGTATTGACTCTGAGACCCTCACCCCACCTCTCCACTGACCCTTTGTTTTAATTTGCTTTTTAGTTTCAGTCACTGTGCTTTTGGTTAGAACTGCTACCATCAAATATCTGTTGATCTTTGGTTGTTCTTTCTTTATGAAAAATTCAAAGCCAATTAGAATTTATATGTGCATAGATGAGGGCTGTTGCCTTGTAAGCCTTATAGTAGAGTGATTGGGCCAGGACCTAATCATTGAATGGAGGATTCTCCATGGCAATAACAGATTTTTCTCTTGGGCTTGCCAGTCTCCTTGAGGAATAATCCCCTTTATTTCCTGAGTAGGGGGATGTATGCCTGACTACAGTGTTCTGAAGTCTGGGAGAGGAGCAAGCTGGGACATCTCAGTGTTCAGGATGCAGACTCTTCCTTAACCTCCCAGTGGTTAGTATGGTACACACCCATGCCCTCACCATTGCCTGCCTTGTGGACTCTGTCCTTCCATTCCATTTGGGGTCCCTCTATTCTCTCCCTCAGCTGACTCACCTCTGTCCTCCAGCCCTTACTTGGGCTTACCATGGCCTGCTTTGCTCCCTGGCTAGCCCTCAGATCAGACATGGTATCCCTAATATTCTTTTCATGAACTCATGATTTTTGTCTTTCACATAAGAAAGACAGCATATGTGTAGACTCCAAAATCTATGCAGAGGACAGAGACCCTTTGGGAATCAAACTCCACATCCTTAGAACCACGAGAGAGAGAAGGAAGAAGGACAAGTGTCTAATCCATGCCTTCCAGAGTTTCAGACCCCTGACTCTAAGATACTAAGTAACAAGAGATTGAAGGTGAATATTAGGGAGTATTTTACACTGAAGCAAGCCTTCAAATGGTTATATACAAAATAGATGCTCCAAAGAAACATATTAAGATGAACTGAACATATGGATAGGTCAGCAGGTATAAAAGCCCCAATCTTCTAATCCTGAATTGGTCTTTCCAGTGATCAGACCTTATCCTGAAGCTACCTAGGGGCTGCCAGTCATCAGTCAATCATTAGCACACAAAAATGTATCGCTTTGGAATTTCTAAGGATTGTTAGGACTTGAATGCCAAGAAATGGGATAAAAAACTAAACATATTTCACAATATCACACTAAGAAAATTTCATTATGGAAAAGGGTAACTCTCTTAAAGGCAGCTTATTACTGGCAGGAAGATTTGGAGTCTTAAGATGTCTCGGGGCTTCACTAACAATTGACGTCTAGTACTTTTTGATGAAGCACTGTCTCGCCTTTTACACTGCCTTTAGTTTCTAACCTAATCTTATTTGGCATGATTCTCTAAGACATACCAAACAGAGTTTTCAGGTTTCTGTGTTTTCTGGTATCTGGATATGTCTGACTTACTTAAGAAGTTTCACGCAGTGACAGTAACCATACCCCATGAGGTCTCCATGTTAACAGAGCTTAAATGTTTGCCACCCCCTCAGGCTCTTTGGGTGATGATTCAACCAAAGGGAAAATGGCAAGTGAACATTTGTGCCCCCTCCCCTTCTGACTCCAGAGCATTGCAGTAGGGCTACTTTTAATGTGCTTGGCAACAATGAGCTCTTGAAGCTGCAACAGCTGCACAATGCTGATGCTCTCCAGATGCACCAAACGAATTAAATCATGCGATAATTCAATTGGAAAATTGGGTGTAATTATGGAGAATGCAGAGTCTGCTAGTCGCCGCATGGTGACTTGAAGTTCTTGAAACAACAGTGCTGAGGGCTGTTCAGAGAGTGTGTGGCATGCACAGAAACTGATACGGGTGTTTGCAGAGATCTCAGCCCCCTCTCTGACAATGATGGAATTACCCAACCCTGTACTCAGTTAAGAGCTTTCTGAGTGTCACCAAAAGAGTCTCCTTTGTAACTTCAAAGCTTCTCACATCCAGACGACTCTTTCTGACTTGATAGTGGGGTCTGTGCTTTGAGTATATGCTGATTGAGAACGTGTAAGACAAGCAAAGGCTGGAATCCCTAAGGACCAGTGATCCAAATGTTAATTTAAAGAGCTAGTTAAGTAAGGGAACCATAAATTATGATACCTTTCACATTCTGTTTTAACTAAAACACACACACACACATACACCAATCTCTTGATGTAGGGTCATGTCCAAGGTCAGTGTATTCTGGGTATTATCTTTCTCACATTTATCACATCCTTAATGCATTGGTTATAATTTTCAGTTTGGGTTTATGTAATAGGGAATAAGAACCTAAAGAGATTTGAGGAGGAGTTTTAATAGCATCTTCTCAGAAATATTATATTTTTCTCCCCAAACTCTGAGAGTTACCCAGTTCAAAGGCTTTTGTGTGCCGCTTTGCAGTTATGCCTTGTACAACTCCAGGAGGCGTCAGCCACAGGGTACCCCTTGGAGTCGTGCAGTGACCACTTGAGAGTCATTCTCAGGGGACCTGCCTCATCTAGCAGCAACTTCTTTTTTAGTGGCTTGCCTTTATTGAATCTTTCTGCAGCATTCAACTGAATTTTCATAGAAACAATAGCTCTCTCCTTGCATTGGAATTGAATCTTGTAATTACCATAAATATCTTTTAGAACAAATACAACAGCCTCTTGGGAAGCGAGCATCTTAACTGGTGAGCAGAAGGGTGCAGGTATGCAAGGGAATAGCCTATTGGCCTCCAGTGTACACACTGCTATGGGAATCAATCAAGATACTTTATGGAGTGTTCTGCTCAGTTCTGGGAATTAAAAAAAAAATACATACTTTACAGAGGGAAAGCTAATACAGTGAGCTGGTAAAGGGAAGTTTAATTAAGAGAGTTTCAACTGTCCTGTGAATTCAGTGATGCTCTTAAATACATTTGTATTTTATTATTCAGTATTGCATCTACATATTTTTTAAAAATAGCACCTAGAGATGTCAGACATTTTATCTTTTTAGTTCATAGATCAATTTTTGGATTCCTTATCATAACTCCCCAGGCATTATAGTCTTCAGATTGGGAACCCCTGGCTTAGGGTCTGCTGCCCATGGTGAAATAAAACATGATCGAGGTTGGTTAATGAAGTCGTAAGAAGTTCTCTTTGCATGGTGTGATTTAAAATCAAAGGGAAGAATGGCGAAGCATCCATTCTGAGTCACCCTTTTCCATAATGAAAGTTTATTGGTGTGATATTGGGAAATATGTTTCATTTTCGATCCCGTATCTTGGCATTCAATTCCTAAAATCCTTAGAAATTCCAAAGGGAAACATTTTTGCATATTATGATTGACTAATAACTGGCATCCCCTCGGTAGCTTCAGAATGGGGTCTGGTCACTGGAAAGACCAAGGCAGGATTAGAAGATTGGAACTTTCAGTCTCATCCCCCAACCTCAGGGAAGAAGAGAGTGGCTGAAGGTTGAGTTGATCACCACAGCTAATAACTTAATCAATCATGCTTATGTAATGGGGTTTCCATAAAAACCTCTAAGGAACAGGGTTCAGAGAGCTTGTGGGAGCTTAAGTGAACACCTGGAGGTGTCACATCCAGGGAGGGCATGGAAGTTCCACACTCCTTCCCCATACCTTGCCCTACACATCTAGTCATCTGTATTCTTTGTAATATCCTTTATAATAAAACAGTAAACATCAGTAAGTTTCTCTGAACTTTGTGAGCTGCTCCAGCAAATTAGTTAAACCCAAAGTGGGATTTGTGAGAACCCCAAGTTGCAGCCGGTCAGTCAGGAGTTCCTGAGGCTTAGACTTAAGACTGGTAGGAAGCAGGGGCAGTTTGGGAAGTGATCCCTCAACCAGTGGAGTCTGACGCTGTCTCCAGGTCGATAGTGTCAGAATAGAACTGAATTGCAGGATACTGGTGCCTGCTGCAGAACTGTCTGCTTGCTTGGTGTGTGGAAAATATCTCCACACATGTGGTCACAGAAGTCTTCTATGTGTATTGATTTTTGGTGTGAGAGCTGAGAAATCTATTTTGTGTTTTTTTCCACTGTCACCTGGATAGTTTAAAAGCCACAAAAATATTGATGCTAAAGAGGAAAAAAGCCACCAGTTTATCCATTTGGGACTTTCCCCAACTCCTACTCCCTTGGCCCTGTCTCTAGGTAAATCACATCTTGTCTTTTAGTTTGACCAGGCCAGGAAATAGTAATCTCTTTAGACTCAAGAAGCCCTCACTGAGAAACTGTGACCTAGAGTTGGATCATCTTCAGTTAAAATGATGACTCTGCCTCTTACTTACCTAAATTAACTTAATTTGAACATTAGTTTCTTTGTCTGTAAAAGGGTCAGGGTAATAAGTATTCCACCAAATTACTGTAAAGGTTAAATGCCTCAACACATCTCAAAGGACCAGATATGAATGGATGCTCAATAAATGTCAGGTAGGACCAAAGGGTGGTTAAAGTTTTACCAGAAGGTAAAGGAATGTGGGAAGATATAAGGTATGAGGGACAGGTAATGCAAAATAGAGAGATAGAGATGAGAAAAGGTAGCAAAAACAATATACAGGGCCAGGCACAGTGGCTCATGCCTGTAATCCCAGCACTTTGGGAGGCCAAGGCAGGAGGATCACTTGAGGTTCAAGGAGTTCAAGACCAGCCTGTCCAATGTGGCAAAACCCCGTCTCTACTAAAAATACAAAAATTAGCTGGGCAGGTGGCATATGCCTGTAATCTCAACTACTCAGGAGGCTAAGGCATGAGATTCACTTGAACCCAGGAAGGGAGGTTGCAGTGAGCTGAGATGGTACCACTGCACTCCAGCCTGGGTGACAGAGCAAGACTCTGTTTTAATAATAACAACAACAACGATAATATACAGAATTGTGTAGTAATAAAGGGAATTTATACACATTATATCACTGGCATAGTCCAACAGTCCTGTGAGACAGGATGGGCTTTAGCATTCATTTTTCAGATGAGAAAGCTGAGGCCTCGAAGATTAAAAGAGTTGGCCAAGATGAAGCAGATTTGGCAGTGAACCCAAGGTCTCCTTGTTCCCAGCCCAGTGCTTTGCTCATGAGTCTATATGATCTTCAGCTTTCTGTCTTTACCACACCATCTTAGGGATTCTGTGATGGCTGCTGTGCTCCAGATGGCCTACTTCTGTTCTAGGGAGAGTTATACACACAGTCAGTGCTCTAGGAAGCTGCTTTGGGTCTTCTATGTCTAGCATGGCTTCCAGTAATCATTTAGAGAGAAACTAGAATGCAAAGAATCCATGAAAAAAGGTCATAAAGTTTGTGGGCAGGGGAACACTGAATATGAAAATCGTAACCAGAGATCACCCTTTGAGGTTAGGACCTAAAGAAAAGTGATGTTATTAGTCCTGAGTTATTTTATTAGTGGATAGAAAATTATAGGAAGTGATGTGTTTTGAAGATGAAAATTTTAGAGGTCTAATGTAACTCTCTGGGCATATTAAAAGATGTTATTTCCATATTCTTCTTGGGTAATCAATCATGCCATTGCAAATTAAGGGTTCTTATTTTTAGCCCTATTAGCTACACAATGATAATGAAAATTGATTACAGCCACATTCCCCTCCTTAAGACACCATCAGTAAATGAATTGAAATGCCCCAGAATCAATCCATTTAAAAAATATGCCAAAAGTTGAAAAAAAAAGCGCTCATCAATTACTTTGACATCTGTTAATAAAGAAAAGATGATGAACTGGCTGCTTCTGTCATTGTTCGCCTACGGTAGGCCAAGAAAACAAGTTCTTTCAGTCTACCAACTGGAGACATCTTCAAAAGCTGAAGGATCTGAGCTGTTGAAGCCCAGATATTGGTTTCCAGGAATATAAATCAGAGAAATGTCCAAAAATACTAATAGGAAAGTGCAAAAACAAAAGAAGAATAAGCCATATTTGTCTCTGATTTATCAAACTTCAAAGTCTAAGAAGATTCTTTGGATTAGACTCGGGAAGTCCTCGTAGGTGGAAACTTGGCAATACTGGGGTATTATAAAAAAGCCGGTAGGTGCTGAATATGGTGACTTAACAAACTAGGGATCTAGGGAAACTAGGAAGTACACCCTCTGTGAACCTAATTAATGGTTCTGTGCTTTATAATTTTGGGAAAACGTCAAGATGTCCAAAGAAATAGTTAATAATAATGTACCAGTTCTATATGGTACCTGTTCCAAGCCAGTTTTGGGGAATATAAGAAAAAAATACTGAAGATAGACTTTTCAGGGGTCCCACACTAATACTGAGGTTTCACTAACAACAGAGTCCACGCGGAACTGATTCAGTCATCCCTCGGATTATTCGGCGCAGAGTCCAGGGAAGCCTGGAAAAGCTCACTCATAACCACATGGGGCAAGAAGACAGTCCTCTGGGGCTCAGGCCCATGATTTCCAGACTCTAACACCCTCACCTTGGAGTTCTAAGGTCTCAGTTCATTCCAGAGATCAGTCTCATTCAAAAAATCAGCTCACAAACACAGATCGCCTTTGGACAATGATAAAAGTTCTTGATATTCTTCATAAAAAGAAAATGGAAAATAAAGTATAGAGATGTATTTCTCTTTTCTGAAGAATTGTGTTTAAGCAATTTGGAAAGAATCCAAGTCAAATATCAAGTGTCTTAAGACTTCATGCATTTCTCTAATGATTGACATATGGTTGTGCCACCTGGAGACTGCGTCATAGGAGTAGAACTGCTGTGCCACGGAACGCCTCGTGTCCCTATCTACATCCATAAACCTCCTTCTCTGAGAAGATATCCCATTCTGTCTGAGGATCACAAACATATGTAGATATGCAAATTTAAATACACAGAGGAGACACTAAAAATATTTTTTAGTGATGGAATTTATTTTTCCTTGATTGCAAGGATTGGCGTGTTTATCAAAATTCAGGGACTGTACATGATAAAGAGTGAATTTTTAAAATGTAGATTTTTCCATTAAATACTTCATTAACCCCACACCCAATACACACACTAAGTCCTTAAAGACAAAAATCTATGATAAAGCCCAGCTTTCACGGCCTTATTGGAATAGCAGAGGGATTGACTGAGGGATATGTAAGATCCTAACTCTAACATTCTACGAATTCTTTTAAACCATCCCAACTGAAGCGCTTTATGTTTCAATCCTGCAGGACACTAATGACTGAGACTGTAAGCATGTATTTAAACCTGGCCAACTTACGTATACACATTGTTTCCCATAGGCAGGGGAACGTATTGAAAGCAAATGTTAACATCTCAGTTCCTAGCTAATGTAATAGTGCTAGCTAATATTCATTGAATAGTTAGTATGCACAGGCATTTCTATGCGACAAACATATGTTAATTTATTTGACATAACAACCCTATAAAATGGAAACGATTGTCTCCATTTCACACACAAGGAACCTGAAACATTAAGAAGTTTAGCAGCGTGCTCATTGTCAAACAGCAGGTGAGTGGTAAAGCCAGAACTTTAAGCCAGGCAGTGTACTCTTTGTGGAGAGACTCAGAATCCAACGAGCAAGGAGGGATCAATCCACACATACTCCACAGAGAGGTAGACCCGGCGTTGAAGCTCCCATCACAGACTTCTTTGTCCTTGCTCCTCATTCTCCATCCTGCTATCCCATTTCTTTTTGCATGGAAAGAAAGTATTCAAAGAACAAATCTCACAGCCTTTTTTCCTACTTACATAAAGGGCATGGCGTCTCCCTATTCTGCTTCCTCACTTCTTTCTCCTAGAAAGCACCCAGGCTAAGTATTTAACATAGACTATGGCATCATTTTAGGCAAGCTGCCAGACTGAAGTAAGATCGGTGAAGTTACAAGAAGGATGAACCAACAGGCTGTGTCTTTTGTGATCCAGTGCCTTTGACCTGCCACCCACTTCTTGGTGGCTTTAAGATAATTAGTTGGACACAAATGTCTTAAAGGAGTAACAAGGCTAAGGCAAACAAGAGTGAGAAGGGAAGCAAAACCTGGACTGGAAAAGAAGGCACTGGGAGGCGGCCACTTGACTCAGAGTCAGAAGTCCTGATCGTAATACCAGTTGTGCCTTTCAGCAGAAGCGTGACTCTGAATCTGCTACGCCTCTGAGCCTCAATGAGCTCATCTGTACAATGGGGATAGGATAGAAGAGTCATTGCTAAGACCAAAGATATGTCTCTTAAATCGATGTGCACGTCGTAAAGCACGGTGCAGTATGAATTAAAATGGCAGAGCACCAACCAAAGGTCCCTGGGTAAAGAAGCTAGGGAATTTGGGAATATCGACATGAAGCGGTCATGTTTATTCTCTTTCCAGCAAAGACCTGAATTAACAAACACAAAATGGTTCTGCTGTCAAGAAAAACACGGCGGGTAAGTACACTTGAAAGTCACTTCTGAAAGAGACCTTGAAGAAGGGATGGAGAATGCTGGGGGTCGAGAGGAACTCTTTCAAGCCAGACAATGAAAGATGACAAGTTAGGTCCTGGTGGCTGAAGAGGAGACAATGATTTGTTGTCTGACTCTCCAGCCACGATGGGGCTGTAACTAATGAGGTTATTCTGGTTACAAAAGAAGCATTCAGCCCCTTAATGAAAAACTCTTTGGCAACTGGTGTTAGGGAAAGAAAAAACAAACCGGCAGCTTATTATTAGTTCCACAGCAAGTTAATTAATTTTTGCCAGTCACTTTGGGTCACTTGCTGGACTGAGCATCTGTCTCACTCAAGTGAACAGCTGGAGGGATGGCGGGTGTCTCTGCAGGTCATGCATGTGTCCTGTTCTGGGAGGAGGAGATGGAGCTAACTACAAGGCTGAAAAAACGTGAGCTTCCAGCATTCCTCCGCTCCTCTCCTCCCCGCTATCCACTCAAGCCAGGACAAAGGACTATAATTCCAGGGGAAATGAAGGAAATGAAAATGCTTAAAATGAGGTAATTTCTGCTTTTGTGCAGCACTCAAATGAGAGCAGTGTAATATGGTACACTGAGTACTCTATCAGCCTGCAGAAGCCCTAGCCCAGACTCTAGGACTCCTTCTCTCATTCATCAGCTTGGACCATGGTAAGGTGCCTTAGCCTCTCTGGGCTTCTCTTACCTCACCTGAACTATCCACCTGCATGGAACGATGTTCATTTGGCATACTTTCTAGCATTATGAAATCTGAGTTAATAAATCTATCTTTTCTTGGAGACTTGTCAACTATCTGCCAAATATGATCCAACAACACTTCCAGAAAGACAGCAGTAGCTAGGTATAACCCTTCTTCAAAGATGGGAGAGCAAGGGCTAAAAAAGTGCTCAAATAAAACGCCCACACAGAGCTGACCTGGCTTCAAAAAATACTAGCATGTTTTTTAAAGACCTGTGTAATGTGCAAGTGTAAGGAGGGCCATTTTATTGAGCATGCATATTAATGCTAGTATATTTACTTTCTAGGGTGGATTAAGTGATACAAATTTTCTTAATTATGTGTGCTGCATAATATATAATACACATATATAATATTTATTACACAGTCACCCCTAGAATGGACCAAGATAAAGAGGCTCATAAACTACACTGAAGCAGGGACCGTAAGTTTAATTCCCTCTTCGAGCCAGTTTAAGATACTGTTTGGGTGCTGCGGTTTTTTAAAATCACTTGTATTTAATTCAAAATTATGAAGTTTTCAGCAAAACGAAAAAATCAAATTGGGAAAGAGCTCATTATCTCAAGCAAACCCATGTATCTCACTGGGCTTTCAGAATTGTCTTCCCTTCCCTCCCCTCCCCTTAAAAAGAGACGA